ATCATTATCTTCGATTTATCCACGTTTATTACTAAGTCCCGCTCCGCTATATAGTCCCCCATAAACTTCATCATCAGCTTCATCCCTTCCTCGTCCTTCGCTAGAACCACCATATCATCAGTATACGCGAGCGAGAATACTTTCGTCGGCCCTAACTCCACCCCCCCTTTCCACCTCTTCCTTAACTCCTCTTCCAACTCTGCCAGCAGAATGTTAAACAAAATCGGGCTCAACGGGCACCCTTGACGTACCCCCTTCGCCGTCCAAAACTTCTCCGACACCTTCTCCCCCACCCTAACTTTACTGGCCGTCTCCAATCCCTTAGATATTCCTCTTTTCTCCATTGCTCTCCACAATATGCTCCTGTTGACCGAGTCAAACGCCGTCTTCAGGTCCACAAAGAACGCCACCATTTTCCCTCCTTCCCCCTCCAGCTGTTTATTGATCAGGTAATTCACCACGTAGATGTTGTCCACTGTCCCCATTCCTTCTTGAAGCCTGTCTGATTGTCCAGCACTACTTTTACTTCCTCCACCTCTCCTTCCAGCTTTTTCGTTAATATCATGGCGTAAACCTTGTATAACGTTTGCATCAGGGTGACCTATCTATATTCCTCTACCTTTTTCCCTTCCCCTTTCTTTACTATCGGCGCTAGTAGTTCGTCCTTCCAGTCCTCCGGCCATCCCTCTTCTCTCCATACCCCATTACATATTCTCCATGCCACTCTCCTTATTCCCTCACCTTCCTCCTTCCCATGTTTCCCTCCACTTCTGAGTCGTCTCCCACCTCATTTCCACCTGCTGACTCGTATATCGTCTCATTCAATCCCTTTTGATCCTTCCCATCTGATTCAATCCCTCCATCGTACTCCTTCCCACTATCTACTCTCTCGTCTGCCTGCTTTTCCCTCTTAACCTCACCTGTCTCCTCTGACTCCTCTATCCGCCCCGTCACACAAGATTGTTGCCAGAAAGTCGCCATCCTTCTTTACCGGCTCTCCTCTTCCTTATCCGCTTCCTTTCTTTCCTAGTTCTTTTTTCTCCCGCCCACTCACTATCGCTCTACCTACACTTTCCTATCAATCCCCCCTCCTCTCCCTTCTAAGCTCGTCCCTCGCCCTTTCCACTGTTCCTCGCCTTTTGGCTTAATCCCTCCTTGTAGCTCCTTTCTTCCCGCTCCTCACTAATACGCACGATTCGCCCCTTTCACTTCGTAACCTCTCAAACACTCACTCACACGCTTTCGCCCTTAACACTCCCCATACCCTTTCTTTCAACCTTTCTTCCTCACCTTTTCCACTCTCAGCCTTTCCGCCCTCCCTTAATCCACTCACCCCCCTCCCCTTCCCTCCCCAAACTCAAGAAAATGCAAAAACAAAACAAAAATTTTCGCTCCACCGGTTTCCCACTACTTTCTCCACGCAGCCCGGAAACGGAAGTCTTAATACGTCATATTCATTTGTTTTCGGTTCGAAAGATTATTTCTGACATAAAATTCGCCGGGTTTCAACTGCGGGAGTTGCGTATGCCCAGTGGCAGTGGGTGCGCGGCAGAGTTGCGCACGAATATCCCATGTGCCGGAGAGCTGCGCACGAAAATCTCACGCGTCGGATTTTCGCCTTCATCTGGCATCACTGCCTCTGACTCGCAAACCATACTAAACCATATCGGTGTGATGGCCGCCAATCACAGCGCGCCGCGAGATGTGTTAATGAGAAATGGTCACGTGACTATTCCCTCACTCCTGTCGCGTCAGGACTTTTGTAAGCATTGCAACTCTATTGGGGCCCTCTACATATTCTCGCGTCATACATAATAAAAGTTTTGATAGATGGACAACAAATGATGAGAGATAAAAGAGAAAAAATGCCAGTGATTGAGTGAGAGTCAGTACCTAAAAAATAAAAAAGAATGAAAGTTCGTTGAGAAGTGTATGTGGAGGTCCTGGTAAATACGTGAAACGAAGAAAGATACCTTAAAATGGTGAAATGAATTCAGATAAATTTTTAGCAAAGACAACGAAAAACATTGATGAAAAACTAGAACGAAAATAGTTTTCAAATATTGAGATCTATACTATCCAGTGCAAATATTTGTTGAAAATCGAGGTCCTGCTCATGATTTGGAGATTGACAGTAATGAGATGCGTTATTTAAAATTGCTTCTTTTCTTCCTTAAATTTGTTTCATCCTACCTACCCATAAATTCCTTTAAAAACTTTGGTAAATATATAGTATCACTCCCCCCCCTCCGATTTCGTTCAAATTTACAGGGAATACTACCATCCCTGTAAATTTGAACGAAATCGGAGGGGGGGGAGTGATACTATATATTTACCAAAACTTTTCATATTTGGGGCTCATTTATTCAAACGTGCGCTCAGTGCTACGGAACTGTTCGCGGGTTCGCTACTGATTCCCTTCTACGTCGAACGTCCAGCCCCCATAGGTAGTGGGGATAAGATTCCGAGTCAGAGGGTTAATTGACGGTATCGTAATTTTTCCGTAAAAATTCCGTGATTTTAGGTAAAAATTACGTGACAGTTCCGTAAAATTTCCTACAATTACATTGCGTTGCGGAATTACGGAAAATATACGTAATTTTTATTGAATATTTCGCTCCGTCTAGTCCACTAGTTCCTGAGATACACCAACTTGTTTAAATTTAGTTTTTCCTGAATATCGCAAAAACTGCATTACCGATTTTAAGTTTTCTCTTCTCAAAATACTCGTCGCGATAGCTCCTATATAGAGAAATTTCAATCAAAATATCTATACTCATTCACACAAAATTTTCCAGATATTGCCGTTTTTTCGTTTTATAAATTTTTTCATTCTGGCACCCACGATAACTTGAAAAACAAGCAGGGGGCCGAGCCTTTCTGTCAGAAGGTATGTGACCGTTACTTGATGCGTTATTTGTCTTTTTCATTTTTATTTCTACCAATCGCATTGGTAGTAAGCTTTCGAATGGATCCGTAGAAATTTTATTTTTTAATTGAAAAGAAATGATCCTTGAAACGATTGACGTTCTAAACTTGAAAATTAAATTTCTGTTTTATCCAGTCGGTTAGACATATCTACACGACCCTATTTTTAAGAAATGTTTCCATATAAAAATCAATGATAGAACAACGATATGTCATTTTATACGAAAAACGTTTTTTTAGATCTACTGCTCTATTTAAAAAAGTATTGAATCGATCCATTTGAAATTTTACACAGGAGAGCAATCCGATGATACTAACTAGTCCTCAACATTTTAGAGCTTCACCATATTCTTCACTCATGTAATGGAACGTCAATGCAACTTTCAGACAAAAAAACATAGAAAAACCCCAATATCTCGAAAACGTTGTAGGAACGGATATACATATTTTGAAAGAACTAGATAGGAGACATCAAGACGAATATTTTGAAAAAATAATTGAAATCGGATGAATAGTTTTTGAGATATTGAATAATACAGTTTTATACAAAAATTGAATATCTTTAAAACGACTCATTCGATTTCGCCCATCTGAAATTTCAGCCTGTAATATAGTAAGAGCTAGAATTCTACAAAATTTCAACTTCCAATCTCAATTTTTTCAAGCGTTACTGTGTTCATATCAATTTTATGACAAAAATGAAAAATATCAATTACTGGGCGATTCGCAATAGTTAGATAGGCATATTATGATCTGATTCGATAGATATTATCATGGGGAATATTTTGACGCCCGAAAAAGTTCATTTGATGCAGTAATTTTCGAAATTTTGAGAGAAGAAAAAAATTTTCGGAATCGCTGTCTCAAAAACTACTGGACCGATTGAGCTCACATTTGTGCAAATCTTCCTGTAGACACCCTGTAGCAGGTGGTTATGGTTGTTTGCATGTCACAAGGACAGGGACTGGTGGCTGCGGAGCTATTCGGAAGCTTACTACCAATGGAATTAGTAGAAACAAAAAAAGAAAAAGGCTAATAACGCAAAAACTAACGCTCACATGCCTTCTGTCGAAAAGGCTCAAACTCCTGTTTGTCTAAAAATTAATCACCAAAAACTCAAGTCGTCACATACATGTACAGTCGAGCACTAAAGTTCGTCAACAGCCTGAACTTGCATTCTATGTATTCTGTTTACGAACTTGAGTGCTCGACTGTACATACAGACATGACCCTAAAATAGTATATTTCGATACGACTGAGACAGAATTTTCACGAGTGTGAAGTTGGCGGCCCGAGGCGAAGTAGAGGGCTGCTAATCACTCGAGTTGAAGATTCCCGTCTCACATGTGTTGAACAATATTTTTCATCACGGTGTGCGAAAAAGTGACTTTGTAGGCACGCTTCGCGCCTAAAAGTCAGTTAATGTGCCTAAAACGTCTCTTTTCCACATATTGTGATGAAAAATATCGTTCGATACTCGTGGGAAAAGTGTTTTTTCCCGCACTTCGGCTCGTGCTGTAAACCTCCCACGAGCCAAAAAACTCTTTTCCGCACTTGTAATGAAATATACTATTTTGACATTGCTGCTATGTTCACCTCGTGTGGAAAAGTGCGTTTTCGTTTACTCGTAAATGAAAAGTCACAGTTCGGCCACTCGTTGAACGTAACATCGCTGTCAAAAAATATTGCTCGAGACATGTGAGACGGGAATTTTCAACACGTGTAATTGGCAGCCTTCGGCTTCGCCTCAGGCCGCCAACTTTACACTCGTGACAATTCCGTCTCACTTATATCGAAATATACTATTCTTCGCGTTTCATGACATTCTAGACCATTTGCAATCAAAATTAGAAAATTGAAAAATTGATCAAATACGAGGCTTTCATTCGGAAGTAAAGGAGTTATGAAAGTGCGTAAACGATAATTTGGAAATAAAGTCTTGATGCGCAGATATGGAGATCTTTCCTAATTAATATTACTAATATGTTTAAGTAACAATGGTTGATTGTCCTGCAAATCTTCGTATTCCTTTCTGTAGAATATATTTTAAAGAATATCTTCTCCAATTCTAGAGATTGGAGAGGATTTGCTGGTGTTCTCGGTATCGGGGGGGAGGCAAACGCAATCATAACTTCTAGTCCCGACCCAACTGCAGCAATTTTCGATATTCTGAAGACCAGGGAAGAGAAGATTACCTTTGAGCAATTGTTGAAGGTTTTGAAAAAAATCGACAGGTGGGATGTCGTTGATGACACTACTGATATACTGGAGAAGGACGGCAAGGTATATTTGGAGAGGCTACAGAAAGGCGATGCACAGGAGGTTGATATAAGTGTAGACAACAAGATGTTGACTTATGGTAAGTGTGAAGCAATGGGTTTGCATACTCTCCACACTCATTGAAATTCTATTACATACAATCTATTGACATTCTATTTTAAAAATGCTATCCATTTTATGTGCTGATTCGATTCGATCGCATGTAACATGGATATTTAATGGAAATAGTGAATAAATTTGAGTTCGCATTTTCTAATAGGAATTCTTAGGCATGAATCGCTCAAATTTTTCTTTCGTGGAGTTTGTAATGAGAAATGACAAACAAGCAGTGTACAACAGATGATACGTGACAGGTGCTCCACGTGTATTTTTCTTTTTCCATCTTTTTCATTTCAACGAATTCCGTTAGATCTCAAGCGCCTTCCTCAGGTAGTATAAATAAGACTAGGGAGTATATGTAAAATATTATTCTATATGTTTAATCTATTCATTTCTTTACTTATTTTTCTTTACTTATTTTTAGTATTGAAAAAAGAGTAAATTCAAAATTGGCTCGAAATGATTACTGTCTTCTTAATAGTCGATGGACTATTAAGACGAAAATCTAGAAAATCATAGAAAATCTAGACATTTCGAGGTAATTCGAGAAGTTTCTTGAAATTTCGAAAAAATTCAAGGGAATGCAAGGACTTTGTATGAATTCCGAAGGAATTAAAGGAGTTTTTGGAAATTTCGAGGGAATTCGAGAAGTTTTTAAAAACTTCGAGGGGATTGAAGGAGTTTTTAGAAATTTTGAGGGAATTCAAGGAGTTGCTAGACATTTCGAGAGAATTCAGAGAGTTGCTAGAATTTTCGAGGGAATTCAGGGAGTTTCTATAAAACTTGTGAGAATTCAAGGAGTTTCTAGAAAATTCAAGGGACTGTAGGAAGTTTCTATAAATTCTGCGAAAATTCATCCAGTTTCTAGAAAATACGATCGAATTCAAGTAGTTTTTAGAAAATTCAAGGGAATGCAAGGAGTTTGTAGAAATTTCAAGTCAATTCGGGGAGTTTCGAGAAATTTCGAAGGAATTAAAAGAGTTTTTCGAAAAATCGAGGGAATTGGAGAAGTTTCTAGAAACCTCGAGGGAATTTGAGAGGTTTCCAGAAATGTTGAGGAAATTCAAGCAATTTTTATAAATTTCGGTGAAATTCGGGGAGTTTCTAGAAAATTCGAAGGTATTCAAGGAGTTTCTAGAAAATCCGAGGGAATGTAAGGAATTTGTAGGACATTTGAGAGAGAAGAAAAGAGCGTAGACGTATGGGCGTACAATTATAGCGGTATCGAAGATACAACCGCCTGCAATTTTAGAGGAATAAACAATTCCCGAGGGATATGTTATGAATTCTTCTACAGTAATTTGTATTTTCGGGGAATCGAAGGCAATTTCTTCTTCATATTTCTCTCGTCAAATTTACTTGACAAAATGAAATTTACAATCACAAGTTGAAATCTTCACGCTATTTCCCGGTGACGACTATCCCAACCTGTATAACATAGACGTGTCCACGCCAAGTTAATCGACTGTAACAGAGTTACAGCTATTTAGGATTTTTCTATTGAATTTTCTTCATACGTATCAGAAAATCCCCATGAGGAAAATTCTGAAAAATGTTTTTTAAATTCTCCAGACGATATGATACGGTACGAAGCTGGTGAACCGATGCAGTCTTACGACGCCTTCCTCCTCTATGCCGAAGAAGATACTCCCTTCGCCAACGAAATCATCGAGAACCTCGAGAAAAAAGGAAATCTCCACCTCTGCACAAAAGACAGAGATCTAATCAGTCGTGGTGAAAGATTCGAATCAGAGGTACTGATGCAGTTGATTTCTGAGAGATGTACAAGATTGATTGTGGTTCTCTCACCCAACTTCATCAAAAGTCCAGTCAACACATTTTTGATGGACTTTGGGCAAACAACAGGTCTCCATGAGCGACGACGAAAAATAGTTCCTGTTCATTATCAAGACTGTGAAATTCCAATACAAATGCGTCATACTGTCATGCTTCATTACAACAGAGCGGGAATTTACGACTTCTGGGAACGATTCAGAAATTGCATTCGTACAGTTGCACCACCTGCAATCGCTGCGGATCGCAGAATTGTGGAGAATTCTCTGGAGTCGCAGAAAATCCCTGAATTATCTCCGAAAGTGAATGGAGAGATTCCCCAGGGAGATAAAATTGAAACTGTGGAGAGAAATAATTCACCACAATTAAATTCAAAGCCAGTAAAGAAAGAGGGATTTTTCAGGTTTTCGAAGAAGAAATCTGTCAAAAAGAAGGATAGTGCGATTAACCTACCGTCTTTGAGTGGATTAGATAAGCTTGAAGAGGCAGATAGTGAAGCAAAGGAGAAGAAAAGAAGGAACAAGGGAGTGGTGAAAAGAATTAAGGCCCTTGTATCAAGATCCTGATAAAATGTGCGAAAGAACGAAAGTTTCATGGACATTGAGGTTCTCAGAGGATTTCTGAGCCATCCACTAATGTTTCGAAATTCGTAAAACATTAAGAGGAAGTATGGTAAAAGTGAGTTTCTAATTTCCAGAACCAAGTGACTCATTTTAAGAAATTCATGCTTCTAGACAGCTACACGGAGAATAAAAAACTGATTAGGTAATTTCAGAAGAACAATCCCTAAAATGAGGTACTAAAAACCTACTCATTTCAAATTAGAAAAGTTCTTTGATAAAGAATGGTTGGCTTCATAAATGAAACCAACCTCTTTGAGTTTTTAAATTAAAAAACATTGGATTTTGAAATAAATAACCATCGGGTTCTTAAATGATCACCTTTGTGTTTTTAACCCTTTGCTACTCACCCGGGTGTTTGAATAAGAGTTTTCAGTTACATTTTTATGATAGAAAAAAAGAACATAATGAAGAGGCAAAATGGATGTCCGCAAAACAAGAGAATATGTGCTTTCATTGAAGTACAATTATACTAGATTCAAGTAGAAATCACTGAAAATTATAGACTTTTTTCTATACTGATTTCAAGGAAAATTTTCATAAAATAAGTGAGAATTTGACTTATTTCCCTGATTTTTTTTGCTTGCTAGATTTCAGCCCAGCAAAGTTCTGGGATTCAGAGATTTTATTGGGAACTTGAAACTTCTTATTCTGTACCCTCGTGGAAATCCGTCGACCGATTCAGCCAAATAATGACAAAATTTCAAAAAATTTCAAAAAATGCGAAATATTCGGAATTTTAACATAAAATGACAGAATTTGATATGAAATAATAAATTTTTTCTGATTTTTTTGAAGAATTTCCCAAAAAAATGACACATTATGTGAAGTCGATAAAATGTCATAAAATGTCAGAATATGACAACCAATGTAGTAATATGATAAAAAATGTTAGGATATATGAAATTATGACTCCTCAGAGCCTGGGACGCCGACAGGCTGATCCGACCAAACTGGAACACTGTTACCCACTTCATGGCCACCCACACTCTCGGCCACCAGTTACCGCTTCGGTCATCGCTCGTCACCGTCTCCGGGTACTCGAATGTCGGCACATGGTCGGGTTGACAGGAGGACGATCTCTACTCCAGACCCACGGGCCCATGTGCTCGGCATTTGTTTCGTCGAGCCGGATAACGGAAATAACTCCTTTTTTGCTAGTGGGGGATGCAGGAGCATCCCCCTACGCTCGCCGCCAACGGTTATTCACCGAGGCTACGTGGAGTCCGAAACTCCTTATCATGGCTTCTTCAGCCATTCCTCAATCCAGCACACCGAGAGATTCTTTCAACCTCTCGGTTCAAGCGCTCGCGTTCCACTAACTCAGAATCTTATTAGGGCCTTCTCCCCCTAGTCTGGATATCTCAGCGACGATAGGTCATTCCGTTACCCTATCCCCACCAATCAACCCGACGGGATCCCGGGGGCACCAATCCTCTCACCTGGCCGTTGGTCCCTAGTCTACTCTGACATAGCCTATAGAATCGCCCAGTTGGACAGCCTGTACGTCAGCCCCTTTTCCCCTAGTACATGCTGGGCGAATTCTAATATGGCGATAGTCTAGTAACGCCCTCCAGACCTCCAGGGGTCGAAGAATAGAGACCAGGAGGCCGAACTGTAATGGCCGATTCCTCAGAATACGCGACCAAACATGGTTCCTTGAAATAGTTGCGTCGGAGTGAAAGAGGGCGCTTCATCTCCGTTACTCGGGATTCACATATATAGTCCTCCGCACAATTGTGTCAGTCGAAAAGTTTATCTCTGAATTTTATTTGTTATTAAATGTTGTTTGAAATTCAAAATAATTTTTCGGGAAGATAATTAATGTGCAGGAGTAAAAATGAGAACGGTGTGTTCATTTCCGAACTGCAAGACCGGTAAAAATGCAGAAAAAGTTCGGAATAAGGCATATGGTCTCTTGTTTTTATTATCAAATAACACCAAAGGTTATGATAGTATCATAATAATATTATATTGTTATCATTAAAGAAATGACCATTAACAAAATTTTCGGTTTTCATGTTTTTTTTATTACACACATTGCATGTCACAAATTATACAATTACGGAACAAAAAATGATTCATAAAAAAAGCAACTTATTCAGTAATTCTATGACCGTTGCCAGGTGATCAAGAGATTTTATTCTGTCACATGTTAGCCATGGTATGACTTCGTTGTTGGACAAAAATCCTCAACATATAATGGTTTGCAAAATTTTAATATACAATTAAATCTCAGATATTATATACAATTAATCATCAAATTCACTATTTGCAATTAATTTATCATTCATAAAAAATTTTATGTATAATTGTAGAAATCACCCGAAATCCTAGGTGATTGATGTCGATTCAATTATGCTCCTGGTCATGATGGATTTCTGTTTGATTGATATCATTAGACTGACTGACTGATATCACTGACTGACATTCTAGTGGACTCTCCAGAATCCAACTAAGGAAATAACAGATAAATATCATGATTACATTGTTTTCAACTTATGAGCATTCAACATTTTATTTACGATAATCAACACTAACCTAGAAGACGTCAGACATCTCAGTTTTTATAGTTGACTTGTACAGAAAATGCTTACCCCTTCCGTGGAAGTCATTGCCTACATGTAATCAATTTTTTGCGATATTCAATCACTCAACAAAGTAGTTCGTATAAAAATGGATAAACATTTAAAGGCCAGGAATTATTCAGTAAGTTATTTTCATACACATACACACTACACAGGCAGCATTCCCCCACTACTGCCATTCAGAAAAGCGATTGAAGCACCACCTATAACACTTCATTACCCCGAGTATGGTCTCGGATCGGAAAACGCTAGTTCGGCCTCCTGGTCTCTATTCTTCATGGGTCTTTCATCGGTTTGTAGCTTTTCTCATCCAGTCGCGGCTCTTTCAGCCGCCCCTAGATGTCACTTCCTGTCTCTCTTATCATAAGTTTAACAGTTCTCTTTCTTTCAACCCGTAACGAGAAAATCTCGTTACATATTATATTTTGTAAGATTCTGTCAAACACAATATGTCATATTTTGTCATATCATGCCATTTTCTGACAAGCACCTGTGCTAGGAATAACCATAGAAAATTTTAGAATATGACTAAATATGACATAATAAAACATTTTATGTCATATTTTCACAGATTCTGTCAAACTTAATGTCATAATCTGTCATGCAACGACATTTTCTGACAATGGTCTAGGCTAGGAGTATTCTCAGAAAATGTTAAAATATGTGAAATGATGACATAAAACATTTTTTGTCATATTTTCACAGATTTTGTCAGGGGTGTTTTAATGACATAAAATGGAGAATTCTAAAAATTGCGCTATTTGAAAAATTCTGACATTATCTGACAAATAACAAGATATAACATTAAAATTTGACATTTGCTGATTAAATATCGGAGAGGGTCAGAAACTGGGAAATTATGACATATTCTGTAAAAAAAATAGAATTAGGGACTTGAAGTTTTCGGGATTTTGTAATTGGGATACTTTCGTTTAATTGATTCAAAATGTTAATTAATTAATCAATGATTAAGTGGACGATGGAGCAATATAGAATATGGGAGGGGGAGAGGGGAGTTATAGATCGAAGGGGGGGGGTGTAGTGATTGAGGATTTGGATTGTTAGGGTTTAGTCAATCACTCACGAGTTTTAGTTAAAATACTAAATTAGGTATTTATTCGTAATCGCGTAAAAGTAAAAGTACAGTAAAAAATATATGTGAGTATTCCGAATTGAGGTCGGAAATGATTTGAAGAATGGTCAGTGCGGATTAAATTATCCCCCGACAGGTAGACGCGTGGCAATAGGTGCGAGTGAGCGAAATGAATATTAGACTGAGATAGCACTCGTGTCGATGAGCGGTGCGTCTCGGCTATCGCTCCTCAGGTGTGAGTGGATGTAGTGGTATTCACTACATGACTCCCTTTGTTGGAAAAGAAAGTTGTGGTTATTCTGTATGACTGTCCAGGCAGCTTTAACTATTGTTGAATAAATTGTCTGGAACAGAAAAAAATTAATCGAGGAATTTGGAAAAAAAATTTTTGGGTGCGCTTATAGCGCAAATCAGACCGTTTTGGTCTTTTTGCAGGTGCTCGTGGGTAGAGCAGTGGTGCGAGCGCTGATGGATGGTATTGGTTCATCTCGAAGCTCGTCCTGTGGTTGCTCAGTTGGCGATTGTTGCGCTGGGAATTGTTGTAGGTCCTCTGGCAAGATGTATGCAGGCTTCAGTCGATCGATAGAGATGGGAGTGTTTTTGTAGTCTCCGAGTCCTCCTGATCGAAACCAAATGACAAAGTATTTGTCATTTCTGCTGACCACTCTGTATGGACCTGTGAATGGTGACCCATACGCCATGCGGAGACTGTCCGAACGTACGAACACGTGAGTGCATGTCGAGAGGTCTTTGAAGACGAAGGTGACTCGCGTTCCGTGTCGTGACATTGGTACAGGTGCGACATTGCGGAAGTGAGTTCGAAGCCTTTTTACCAGTGATGGCGCTGTGATTCTGTCATTTCATGGGGCCAAAAATTCTCCAGGCACACGAATGCACTCTCCATACGTCAACTCGGCTGATGTTGTCTGGATGTCTTCTTTCCATGCGGTTCTCAGTCCGAGGAGCACCGCATGTAATGCGTCATACCAGTCCTCCCCGTGGCATCGTAACGCTGCTTTGAGCTGTCTGTGTAGCCTTTCGACGAGACCATTTGCTTGGAGATGGTAAGACGTTGTCGTTAAGCGCTTGGAGCCGAGCAGTTGTGAGTTGCTTGAAGGTGTCCGAGTAGAATTGTCCGCCTTGATCGGATGTAATTCTCAGGGGGATTCCAAAGCGAGCGATCTAATGGTATAGCAGTGCGTGGACCACAGTAGCTTGGCTCGATCAACTAGTGGCACAGCCCCTGGATAGCGTGTAAATCGGTCGACTATCGTGAGACACCACTTGTGTCCTCGTGATTCAGGCAGAGATATGAGATCAATGGGATGTGTTCAAACCTCTGCGACGGGAGTTGGAGTTCACTGATGGGTGTGGCAGAGTCTCGTGAGATTTTGTTCCTCTGGCACGCGATACAGTGCTTAGCCCATTCTACACAGTCCTTATTCATTGAGGGCCAGACGTAGTGCCGTGCGACGAGTCGGCGTGATGCTCTGCATCCGGGATGAGCGAGAGTAGGTAGAGAGTTGAATATCCGTTTTCTCAGTGGCTCTGGAACGTAAGGACGCACTGTACCTGATTGTTCGTCACAGTACAATGTCGTAT